ACTATCACTGACTTGGGCCGGTTGTGGTGGGTGGCGGGTAAAGAACTCGGTAATGTTTTGATGACTGGGCGACCTTGTGCGCACCATTTTCGAGCCTCTTACACAACATGGCGGATGGCGGGAGGTTTGGATCCAAAAATGGCGCGGCTTGCCAGCCGCTCTCCGCGTAATGGGGTTCACGACCGCGGAATGTGAGCATGTTAGGTTCTGGCAAGGCACCGCGTTAACGGTGAACCGCGGAATGCGGGACCGCGTAATGTGAGGATTGACTGTAGTTAGCCTAACACAAAGGATGGCACAGTCTAAATAAATGTTACATTCATATCTAATAATGAAATCATACAGTAAATGTAACACTTTACCTTGAAAATATATGAATGTAACTTGATAGGGGAGAAGGGTGATTTTGAGGTTGATAACATCGAGCTTCTCTTCAAGTGTTATATCCTTTCTTTTACGATCATCACCGGGAATTCTATCACCAGAACGCTTCTTGGAGATATTCTTCTTTACCATATTCACAATTAATACAACAAAATTGGAGAAATAGTAAGCAAAAATCGCGTTATAGCAAACAAGCGTTCGCGTTATACAAATATCGTTCCTAATTCATAAATCGCGTTAGAGCAAATTCGCGTTATCAAAACACGCGTTATAGCAGAACTCACTGTACAAATTTTAGATTAAATGTAAGAATTTTGATTACAAAGAGCCAAAATTTTATCTTTTGTGCAAAATATATGACGTTTATATTCAAAATATTCCTGGTCTTGCAAGGAATCCAGCAATGTCAATTATATTATCCTAACTAGTCTGAGGTATTATTTATTACTATACCTTAAAATCTAGTGTTTTACCCAAACATTTCTCAGAGAGGGAGGAGCCAGCGAGCGTGGGAAGGGGGGGGGGGGGGTTGAGTCCATTATTTGAATGGACATTAACCTGGCGACTGCATTTCTCATAAAATTAAGATGTTATTTTTACTACAAAGTAGGTATTGTGTCGGAAAAAGTGGAGTTTGGGAATCGGCCCAGTCTCTATTTCAATTAATCCCATATGTTCTGTTATTCCATTTACGCGTTTATCGTTTTACACGCTACTCCGCGGGTTCAATTGACCGCGTAAATCGGGGGACCACTGTGTGTGTGTATATATATATATATATAATATATATATATGTATATATATATATATATATATATATATATATATATATATATATATATATATATATATATATATATATATATATATATATATATATATATATATATATATATATATATATGTATGTATGTATGTATGTATATGTATAAATGTATATATGCTGATAACCACAAGGAAAAAGAAAACACGAAGTTCCCAAGCGCTTTCGTGTAATTCACATCTTCAGGGATGAGTACAGACTAAAATAGAAGTGCAGAACAAGTTATATATATACAGAGGAGGGTGAGAACAAGTCCACAGAGGTCAAGTATAGGTAATGACCCTACTAATCTTTACAAAAGCACCGCAGCGGTCGGTAGTCAAGTCAGAGGGAAAACTGACCCAACCTTCTCACCTGGTTACAAATCTTCTTAATTACAAAATTGTCCAATTTGTACATACCGTTACTCAAATTCATGTTAACGGATTCGGTATGTTTAATGAGACTAGATTCTACAATGTTCCTACTGTCAATTGAATTACAAGGTAATATTGAGGAGGCATTATCCCAGTCAATGCAATGTTTATTATCCCTCAAATGAACGAACAGAGCATTGGATTTCTGGCCTGTCCTAACACTGTATTTATGTTGTTTAAGTCTAGTTACAAGATCTTTACCTGTTTGGCTTAAGTAAAACCTATTACATTCCTTGCAAGGGACTTTATAAATGCAGCCATTTGTATTATTGAGGGAGTTCTTGATTAACATCTGTTTAACAGTGCATGAGTTTTTAAATGCCACATTGACGTTCCAGGTTTTTAGTTGTAAAGGAATTTGAGAGAAATTTTTGTGAAATGGTAATACTAGGAGATTCTTATGGTCATGGGTGGGCTTGGGATCAGTTCTATATAAAGATTTCTCAGTAATGTTCAGGCATTTGTCTATGAAAGATCTAGGGTATTTAAGGTTTGAGCCAATATTATAGATATATTTATATTCCTCATCAATGAATTCCGGGCTGCAAATTCTCAAAGCACGTAAAAACATTGTTGAAAATTCTGACTGTTTGACTCTATTATGGTGGGCAGAATAATAATGAATGTATATACACACATTAGTTGGTTTTCTATAAATACTGAACTTAAAGGTGTTACGTATTCTGTGGATCAGACAGTCTAGGAAAGGCAATTTACAGTCATGCTCTAATTCCACAGTGAATTTGATCGAGGGGGCTAAGTTATTAAGTTGTGGCAGGAACGCTTTTATGTCCTCATTACTTGGCCAGAGACATAATACATCATCTACATATCTAAACCAGACTGCTGAAGGTGGTAAGATATTACTTAATAGTTTCTTTTCAAAGAATATGTTTCAGCATCACATAAAAGGACCTTTTATGTGATGCTGAAACATATTCTAAGCTCATAAATAATCCTCTCAACACTGTTAACACCCAGTTCAACAAAAAACTGAAGTCTCTTTTGAGAGGCAAAGCTACTCTCATTAAACATCTTACTTCAACGTCCCCTCCACTGCCATGCATGTACGGTTTAATCAAGACCCACAAGCCTAATAACCCAGCAAGACCCATCATTAGCTCAGCTGGGTCAATCTCTTATAAATTATCTAAATGGTTAGTTTCTTTACTAAATCCCCTAGTTGGCAACATTTCTAACTCTAATATTAAGAATAATATGGATCTGGTTGATAAACTCAATAACTTACACATTAATTATGATTTTAAACTGGTCAGTTTTGATGTAACATCACTCTTTACAAAGGTCCCAGTTGATGATTTACTGGAGTTCCTCATAGATTCCCTGGATAATATTTCATTGCCTGTCTCGAAAGATGACCTTATCGAACTCATCAAACTATGTATTAAGGATTGTAAATTTGAATTCAATGGAGAATATTATGCTCAAAAATTTGGCATGGCAATGGGTAATCCACTCTCACCTGTATTAAGCAACATTCTTCAGGCCGAATCGACGCTTGAAATTGTCAAACCACCCCTTGCTGGCTTAGAAAGGTGTCAGAGGTGTCTCAGATGTGGGGGTAGCAGCACTGGTACTGGGTATGGGTTCCTCAGCTGCAGGCATGAAGCGTGTGTGTAGAAACTTAGCTTTCTCCTGGATAAGGATAGAGTCCACTGCTACACCTTTCTGGTGCTGGTCCTCTATCCACAGAAAGCACTGGCACTTACAGCATCTTAGATATCTTTTTCCCTTTTCTTGATGGTACGTACAGTGCTTTCGTTCATATTTGGCTTAAGTTTGTATGTACTTTTTCTGTGAGTTGGAACCAATTGTGTTTGTTAATCGAAGGACCACTGTATTATTTTTGCATTTTCGACTTACGTCCAATTCAACGTACGACCTGGATTTGGGTCCCTAACCAGGTCGTAAGTCGAGGAGCAGCTGTATATATGCAGCTAACCCTCGACTTACGACATACTCGACCTACGACCACCTGCACATACAACCACCGCAGTTGGTACCCAAAATTTTTCAAATGGCATGCGTATTTTCTGGAACCGAAACGTTTCCGTCCCGTACGAGAGCGTCGCATGGGCTGGGTCGCCTCGTGGCTACAGCACCCACCCTTTAGAGCGCTTAGTTGGTGTTTGGCTGTCGTTGTTGTCAATAGTGATCGCGCTGTGTACTGATAATATTTTTGTGCTGGTGCTGCTCAGAAGAAAAGGAGACAGTCAATTACTTTTGAGACGAAAATGAAGATAATAATGCAGTATGAAAATGTAGAAACGGTATCAACCATTTCACGCGACCTAGGCTTCTCACACTCAACCATATCAACAATTTTGAAGGACAAGGAATGTATTCATGAGGTAGTGAAAGGATCAACACCTATAAAGAGAACAATAATAACGAAAAAGATACAAGGTCCTATTCATGACATGGAAAAATTACTTGTGATATGGATGGAAAATCAGGTACAAAAGCGTGTACCCTTAAGCCTTCTAGCCCTACAGGCTAAGGCAAGAAGCCTTTTCGAAAGCCTGAAGGAGCAGGCAGGAGATGAGTGCCACCAAAACTTTACAGCAAGTCATCGGTGGTTCCAAAGGTTTAAGAACCGCTACAGTTTGCTCCACTGCTTTCCACTATCTGTAACCAACACTTGTGTAGTTGACAAGACTATGATCCCACACTTCACTCAGCCTCCAAACCTTCCACGACCTTTCGGCTTCAAGTTACGTGAGGTTGTGAGTCTTGTCATCATCACCTCTCTCCTTGAATTTATTTATTTTTCATAAAATAATTTGTAGCCTACATACATTACTTTATTTTTATTTATTTATATATTTATTTATTTATTTATTTTCAAAGGGTTCTTATAAATCTCTCTTCTTACCAAAAAGTTTTCTGCTATCTATTCTTTGATTATTTTTATATGTGATCCAGGCAGTTTCAGCATGGTTACTCTTTTGTCCAGTGTTGCTTTGTTTTCACTGACTTCATTATTATTGGCCTCGAAGAGGGTTTATCCTTCTCCCCTCTTATTGTCTTTCTTAACCAAGAAAGCAGTAAAGGTTATGACACAACAACTGTAGTAATACTTACCTTCTTTTTTCATTTGTCAGCTTATTTACTATGGGACAGCCACATAACCCAGCAAGTGCTGTCTATGTACAGGCTCTTGAGTGTATTAAAGACAGCTGTCATTCTTTGCAACCTTGATTTGATCACACTTCTGAATTCATTCATTATGGCTTGTATTGCATATTTATTTAGTCAAAAGGATATGTCAGCTCTGGAAACATTTCATCACAGTAGTACCACTTACTCATAATATTATTGATGCTCACATTTTTATTCTTCCATATTTCCCACAGAGCTCACCATACTCCAGGTCACACCACTGACCATGTTGTTTTGGAATTGAATGAAGAGAGGGCAGTGTTTACTGGTGACTGTATCTTAGGTGAAGGAACAGCAGTGTTTGAGGATCTTTACACCTATATGAATTCACTAAAAGTAAGCAACTCATCTTTCCATTTTTTTTTACTTGTGATATGTATTCTTTATTGTACTGTATACCTAGGGGGGGGGGTTCCTGGGAGTCCCAACCCCCACCTTTTCATCAGAGTATTCCAATACCTTTTCTTTAATGCAGTATTGTACTCAAGCATTTTTGCATATTAAATTTTAATTATGATTGACATCAGAATACAGTGGTCCCTCGGTTAACGAACACAATTCGTTCCAGAAGGTCGTTCGTTAACCGAAACCATTGTTTCAATGGGATTTGGGGTTATTGGTTCCCGCTCACCGAAAATTACATACAAAGTAAAAATAAATGCAATAAAGTACACTTACTTTGAGGTGTGTATGTAGAAGGCTTCTGGTTGATGATGATGATGATGGGAATTAGAAGTAGGAGTGGAAGAGAAATCACCCCGTGCTTCATGCCGTCATTTCACCCATAAAATTTTAAGCTTACTAGGTGTAATTCAAGTTTATTTTCTTTAAATCAACACTGCACGGCACTATATATTGTCAATATGTAAAATAAATTTCAGAATGACCAATAATTGTACTGTAAAAACGTAAAAATCGTTTATGTTCAAGAGAGCCACAAGCAAGATGTTACCTCCGCTGACCAGAGATACAAACTGACCCTTTTGTGGGTGAGTCAAGTGGCTGATTGGCACACCAAAAACTAGTTTCCTGTACTGCAATTATGTTAAATAAGTGTTAAAATGACTAAAAATTTTAATATAAAACTTGGAAAATTATTGAATAGTACAACCTTCTTGATATTTACTCAAATGGGAACGAATTTAAGCCCTAGAACTGATTACAGTGGTCCCTCGGTTAACGAACACAATTTGTTCCAGAAGGTCGTTCGTTAACCGAAAATTTCGTTAACCGAAACCATTGTTTCAATGAGATTTTGGGTAATTGTTTCCAGCTCACCGAAAATTACATACAAACTAAAAATAAATGCAGTAAAGTACACATACTTTGAGGTGTGCATGTAGAAGGCTCCTGGTTGATGATGATGATGATGGAAATTAGAACTGGGGGTGGAGGAGAAGGGAGAAGAGAAGGCAGTGGGGGTGGAAGAGAAGTCACCCCATGCTTCATGATAGATTTAAAAAATTGTCCAGGGGGGACTTACAGTGCCCCCTCCAACCCCCAGCAGGGTGGGCTTGCTGTGCTCGCCATGTTCACCCACCCACAACTTATTGAACCCTCCCCTCTTGATATTCCTGGATCTGCCCGTAATACCGTGTTTTCCACTTTATTTATTTTTTTAAATGTTCCCTTAAAATTAGCTTATGCCTTATACATCAAACCTAGAAGACTAAGAACTATGATGGTTGATGCTGACTCTAAAAGGAATTACTTTACTTCAACAGTTAATGCCAGAGCCATTAAACGTCAATTACGGATATATCTGTGATAAACAATTGGTGTCAGCTGGCACCAAGCATTGATATATCTGTGATAAAATGTTACCAGTACCTCATGGCATTACATGCAGTACAAGTACAGTGATATCTCCATTAACCGGAACAATTGGTGAAGACCACTTCCAGAAATGAGAGATTTCCGGGTAACGACACGACTCTCAAAAAATTTTCTTGGAAGTTCCAGAAATTGCCCATTACATCATCTCTCGAACCTAGAAAAATATCTCCCATCCCTGGAATTTTCGGGGTACAGTAGGGTCGGAATATATTGCGAGATAGGGTACGAGGATGTTTGCCATATACTAAATCATGATACAGTATATAATTACATGTAATCAATGGGGAAAATAAGGTTAGGATCTGGAGGCCAATAAAAGTTACTAAAGTTGACTTAATGAGTTTATTTTCTTACTAACTAAAGCACCAATAAACACCAGACTCGGGAACACCAGACTCGGCAGGTGACGAGCCATCCCACACGCCATCTCGGTAACGCCAGACGCCACACTGCCTCCCATACCTACATAAATGAACAAACCAAAAATATTACTTACAGTATTAAATCATTTCCATTAAGCTTTCCATTCTCTTCACTTCACTTTTCACGTCACTAGCAACCCATTTACACCCACTTTAGAAGTCGGAATCTGCAGCAGAGTCGGCTGCTGAATCATCACTGGCGCCGCTCGACTCACAGCCAACCTCCCCGCGTCACGCAACAACTCCGTGCCTAAACATGGAACTGTAAATGAATCATTTTATGTTTTAGTGCATGTTTTCATATTACATAGTTTTTTTTTTCATATGGAAATATGTAATAAACATGCCTAAATGAGTGTAAATGTGATAACTCCCCAACATCATCGCCTGCCTCCTCATTGCTTGAGTCGGTAAGCTTAGTGCCTAACTGCACCCCTGAAGGTCCTGCTTCCTCCCCAGATGGTTCAGCCTCCACTTCACCTGTAAAGAAACAACATGCACAGGAATCATTAAAACTGAATTTTTATCCTTGGCACAATGCACTCAGCCGAGACTCTATGCAGACAGTTGAGAGGGTGGAATGCATGTGCACTGAGTCTAGTAAACACTCACCACCACTGGACAGACCTTTACAACTTGTCTTTTTTCACTTTTTTAATAAAAGACACGAACCTAAACTTACCTTCAGAGCGAGAATGGGGTCGGAAGTAGGAAGTGAAGGACCTCTGCTTCTGGTTGGCTATCTTCCTGTCCAGCAGACGAATGTACAGTAGGTAGAAGAGAGGCTGTACAAGTTGTCTACATGCTCTGTAGTCCTCTCCACATCAAGATCGTTGTCCCTAACACACCTGATGACAGCAGATATTAAGGACATGTATTCCTTAAGTTCCGCGATTTTCCACTTCGGCTTCCTCTTGTTTCTTTGTCATCTCGGTTAACTCTTGGGCTTCTTCAGTAGTTAGTGGGTCGTCCAAGCTCTCTAGCAGTTCGTCCACATCTTCTTCAGGGACTTCTTGGAACTCTGGATCTTCTCTTATTTTCTTGCTAAGTAGAACTATTTCTTTGAGATCTTCGTCCTTGGTAAATCCTTTGAAAGTTTGGACAACATCAGGCCACAGAGGACACCAAACACCATTCAGGGCTTGTTCAGAGAGGGATTTCCAACTCAGAGCAACATTAAAGATGGCATCCTTGAATTTGAAATTTTTCAGAATTACCAGACAGTCAGTTCTTGGTCAGAACTCATTGCATCTGCCATTTGTTTCATTGTCATCTTCAAATACATTCGTTTGAATAAGGCAATGGCTCCCTGATCCATAGGCTGAATAAGAGAGGTGACATTAGTGGTCAAGAAGAACAACTGAATATTTTCGTTGAAGTTGTTGAGATGGGCTGAGTGACTGCTGGCATTATCCACGATGATCAGTGTCTTGTCACTGATTTTCTCGATGTACGGGATGACACAATTAATAAACCAGTCTTCAAACACCTTTCCAGTCATCCAGGCTTTCTTGTTAGATTTCCATATGACTGGGAGCTGAGGTAGGAGCACATTTTTAAAAGCATGAGGTCTGGCAGCAGTGTGAATGATGAGAGGTTTCATGCACCGATTCCCCGAGGTATTGGCACAGAGAAGCACTGCTGTTCTTTCCTTACTGACCTTAAATCCTGGAGCTTTGGCTTCTGTATTCATTAAATATGTCTTCTTTGGCATCTTTTTCCAGTTTATTCCTGTCTCATTACAATTCCAGATTTGGTCTGGAGTATAGCCACCTTCCTCAACCACTTTTTTTCCAATCTGTGTTGGCTGTGCAGCTGTGTTGGCCGATGCAGCTTCCCCTGACATAGACACACAGCATAATTCAACTCTTTTGATGAAGCTGTGAAGTCAGCCTTGACTAGCTGTGAATTTACACTCGCTTGCTGGCCATCCTACTCGCTGAAGCAGATGTGTCTTCATTTCTATTACCTCATTCTTTATCATTGAACCTGATATAGCAACATTACAGCACTGCATTTTTTCAAGAGCTGAATCAGAAAGACTGCGGGCGAGCGTAAATGCTTGGGTGAGCAGACACGGTGCCGCCCTTAGGGTGCAAATAACGCACTTGTTTGCCATGGCGGTACATTTGAAATATTTCCTGCCTAATTTCCCTCGCAAAATAAATAGATTTATTGCTATACAGTGGTCCCTCGGTTAACGAACGCCTCGGTTAACGAATTGCCTTCCATAAGAATCTTCAATTCGCTTAACGAAAAAAAAATTTGATTAACGAAATCCTTACGAAGATCACGTTTTGTTTTGAACATCAGCTGATAAGCTGAGGAGGTACTCAGCCAATTCAGTAATCTCTTCTATGTTTACATTCATTTCCATTGGAGTAAATATCAAGAAAATTTTGCATTTTTTTAAACAGTATTAAAATAATTGGTCATTCTAAAATTTAGCCATCCAATCTCTGTCTACATAAAGTTTTTCAACTATTTTTGGCTCGTATATGTAACTTTATTCATTTATTGAAACGCATTTACATGCACACACTGTCCTAAGGGCAAAGCTGAACTGTACATGTAATCAGAATAGTGTACAAAATGATTACTAAAATTGTTATCTAGTGCAAACAATGGCATGTTTACATTCAAATTAATCTCTATCTTATAAGAATTCCAACAATGCAAACTAAATTCACCCTGGTCACTTCTACTAAATTTTATGAGCAAAAAAACAAAAATCAGTCCAAAGGGCATAAATTAATATTTAAATACTTCACACCACAGGTGCCAACTGTCAAACATGTCACTGTCACCCCTCCCTCCCTAATCCCCACCTTCCAAAGAAAGGTTTGGGGTTTTCAGAAGGCTTTAAGTTTTAATCATATATAATATCTCAGACTAAAGTTAGGATAATATAATTTGCCTTGCTGGAATCCTTGCAAGACAGCGAATAATTTGGATATAAACGTCATATATTTTGCACAAAAGATAAAATTTTTGCTCTCTCTAATAAAATTCTTAAATTAGATCTAAAGATTGTATGTCTAATGCAAATTTTAGCTTGTTTATATTCAAATTAATCACTATCTTATAAGAATACTAGTAATGTAAATAATATTCTACCCAGTCATTTCTATGGAATTTTATGAGCTAAAAACAAAAACTCAAGTAAATAAACAAATTAAATACTTCACCAGACACGCTATCTGTCAAATTACACCTCACCTCCCGCTCCCCCCTCCTCTCCCTCCCTCCCTCCCTCCCTCCCTCCCTCCCTCCCCAGACA